CTGACAGGTGTGATCGTAGCTGCCTCTCCGAGTGCTCGATTCCTGCCATATTGAGTGGGGCACTCATATTAATAACGTGATGGATTAGTCTGACCCAGGGGCGGACTAGGCCCGGGGGCAGGGTGGCAATTGCCCCCCAGGCCTCTCTGATACCTTTGCAAACGCAGGATGCATCTAACATCATTAGAAGGAACCCATGCCCCTCTCCTGATGAAATTTTTTTTGTTTGTGATGTGCAGATTGTGATGAGCTTACCTTCATGTATAAGATCATGTACGGATTGTGTCTTCCTCATGTTGGACACTGCTGGGGAAAACGGCCCTACTTTGCCCATCTTGATTTCAGCTGGCTGTTTTCTCTTTCTCAGATAGGCTGGTTTTAAAGGGCTGGCAACTTCTTGATCCACTATATTGTGATTTTTTGCTTGATATTCAGATTCATTAGCTTGTGTGGCATACAGAAATGGACCCTGATTGTTAGAGTCTGGACTAACCTCTTGGTCAGACATTTCTGTGCCACAGATCCCAGGCCGGTTCCTAAAAGAAAAAAAAAAATGGCTTTGTTGTTTAAAAAGCCTCGATATGGAGGACATTCACTGGCAACTATTCATTCAATTTTGGTTCAATTGGGATAAGACAGTTTTGGTGTTTTAACCTTTGCAATACCAACATGTAGATTAAGAGAAAAGCTCCTCTAGATAATTCCTCTCTTGGGATGAAAGAAATTCTATGCATAATGCGATATTACTGACAAAAATGTAAGCAGAAAGAAGAGCAGATTGCTGGAGGAACTTGCCCATGCAACCTTGACATGAAGCTCCAGAATTGTGAACCTTTACATGGGGCCACACTGGCAATTATATGTTTTACCTAGTCTGCACCAAAACTGCATCAACACTCTGCAATCAAAATAAAATGGATTGCTTTGGGTGTAGGTTTTCTTGAAACCAATGCAAACTGGTGAGATGTTTTCTACACCAAATAAACTTGAGTACCTTCAGGAGTGGCAGATATTTATTGTGCCCATTAACTCAGGTGTGAAAGCAACTTCGGCTACTGTGTCAGAACACTCTCACAAATCTCGGCAACAAAGCCCCCAGGCTGGGCTTGGTCAACAGATTATAAAAGCCTCCATGTTCTACTTCCAACACAATTGTACCCCATGTGTGCTACCATCTGGAGATGTATAGTGCTGAAAGAGAAGGATTCCCCTGACCAATCCAAATGTTTTATATTGCACTTGAAGATACTAGGAGATTCTAGGTCATTTACTGTTAAATTAGAAAACGGGAATTAGTGAAACTGCACAATGCATCCCTCTAAAGGAGAACTATGAGGGGAGTGATTTTCACTCCCTTCATAGTTCTAGCCGACCTGTGACAATGAGACTGTCACAGGTCGGCTCAGTAGATCGGGAGGTGAGCGAACACATACAGGCGTTCGCTCACCTCTCGATCCTGTCACGGCTCTCTGCTGTGACAGGAGAGGGGCTGGATTCCCCCCTCCCAGCTCCGATCCGCCAGCGCTGACTGACGGAACGGATGGGGGAGGGGGCGGGTACACCTGGCTCTGCCTTTAGATAAGCAGAGCCAGCTGTCAGTCACGCAGCTGGGCGGATCCCGTCACAATTGTCGGGATCCGCTTCAGCTGCGTCGTCTCAGTATACCGCGAGCTACAGCTCACAGTATACTGAGCCTAGGGTGACGGGAGGACGCTACTTTGTGTCCTCCCGTTACCCTAAGGAGAACTATGAGGAAAAGACTTAACCCCATAGTTCTCCTTTAATATTTTTTTTTTGCTACAATAAAAAAATAAAATGCCAATATACTTTGTAACACCAAGAACAGCATACACCTTTAGGTTTCTGGCTCATCTTTTAAGACCTAAGCCCTTCTATGATTTAGTATACCTTACATAAACCCATATATATTCAAACTTGGGAGATACAAACCTGACAGCTGGTATCTGGGCCATAGCTAAAAACCGGGATGAGATGCTGGCACTTTCTGCCCTCACCGATGTCAAGACTGGTTCCTCTGTGGATATAAATGAGCAAGTTACTAAAACATACAATGTGCAAATCTAGATTGAACCTAAATAATACATGTATTTACCATAAATTGATTAAAAACCCTGAACCTGCAGCGCCCTCCCCCCTAAATCTTTACATATTTAGCTGTGACCGAGGGAAACATATGCACATGTTCACATATCCTTACAGTCCCTCTATGCTTATAGCAGAATGATAAAACAGGGGCTGCACTTATCCTTGCAATGGTTTGTGGGGAAGAACCAAGGATTTACACATACATTATTCACTTACTGAGTGATGGATGCCAGGAAGGGAGTGCAGGGACAGTGAAGTGGGGGGAACAGACAGAGGAGCAGAATGTGAGACTGGTGCAAAGATGCACATAATGCAAAAATATAAGAATAGCATACATACAAATAAATACTAGAAAACTATAGCTTCAACTTTATTTTAACCCTCTCAACACCAGCATGTTGCACCACCTTTCTTTTCCGACCATTTTTTCAGAACCGTGATAATTTGACAATTACTCGGTCATGTAGAAATTTTATATACATTTTTTGACACCGATAGACTTTTTTTGGGTGGTATTTGATAATCTGCTTGCTTTTTATTTTTTATTATTATATCAAAAAATAAAGATTGTGAACATCATCTGTAACCTGCTAGAGATGTCAAAGTTCTACAGGAGACTTTTTTCACGTGCCCATTGATTGTTTCCTATTGGCGGGAGGTTGTGGAGTATTTGCTGCTAGTTACTTCCATAAATGTCACCTCAACAAAAGTGTGTCTATTGGGATTAGTGGAGGAGTTGTCCCCTACCAATGCCAAATGTACTCTTAGCCTATTTTTCTGTGCCCATAAAGCAATAGCGATGTGTTGGAAGAAGCCTACTCCTTTCACAATACAGTTTTGGAAGAAATTGGCGAATTAAAATTTGCCTCTATAATTAGGATACTTACAATAGAGGCTGTGGTGCTAAATTCAACAAAGTGTGGGATGTTTGGATAGAACACTCAAATTCTGCAGTAGACTCTGACCTTTAATATTTGCTTTTGTTGGGCCCTCTGTGACTGACTTCCAATTTAATCCTTCATAAATACAGGGCAGCTCTTGACCTGCCCACAGACCACCTTTCTACATATTGCTGTGAATATCAAAAGGTCCAGTCTCTAGCACGTGAGCCAACTGCGGAGTAAGTCCCCTTCTTGTGGTAGATTCCAGGATGTTGTACTGTTTGTACGGTTTTATAATGCTATTGTATTTTACACATTTAATAAACATATTTCTTAAAAAAACAAAATAGGATTTCCCTTACTTTTCGTTATAAAACATCCAATAAAAATGCCAGGACATTACAAACATCATTGAAATGACCACTTTTTGTAAAGAGGACACCACCAGGTGTTATTTTTTGCCACAATTTTTTTGGAATCAAGAAATATGTTGGTATTGCTGTAGTCAAGGTGCGTTTAGCCTTTAAAATTCACCCACTAAAGCCACGTGCAAGTCTTCTGTTACTAGAGGGAGATGGAATTCCATGGTGTGCAATAGCAGTCATGAATAAATCCACAACACTTTAACCCCACCCCCACCCAAAAAAAAGAATCCCACAACATTGGTGGCCAGTGACCCCTCAATCGCAGCTTCCTCTGCTGCCGCCTGGAAGATTTATTGAATGGTTGCATTCAGTAAATCCTCCAATTTCCTCCTCCATTGTGAGAGAAAGGGGAGGGATCTCAGATATAAGCAGTAGAACACTTTACATAGAGCTAATGACAGTGGAAGTTTTTTAAAAATCCAGTCGGAATAACTGGTTTCCCCTAGAGGCTGCTTTACTACAGTGGCCGATAGGGGAGTGGTTAAATAATGATATACGGGATCTGATTAGTTGCCTTAGGCCATGAAAAACCAGTCACTAATTGGAGTTTCTCAACTCAACGGTAGAGATTCAGATTATTACATAGTAGAGCAACCTCATCTGTCAGGGGTCACTTTATTATTTACTCATATTTTCTCCCTGTCACAGCAGAAGAGTCAGCCTGAATTGAAAGCTACAAGGTCATACTTTCTCCTTCATGAGTTCAGTGCTGATAAATAAATACTTTAAATATGTGACAACAAAAGGTGCTGTCAGGATTACATAAAAGGGAACTATAAGCTATCTGCTAAGTGACTATTTTAACCTCCCCCAGGAGCCCAAACAGAGAGTCAGTTATCAGCCCTAAGCTCCAGTCACCCTCAATGTGGCCCCTATGCCGGTATGTTTTTTTTTTTACTCTAACAAGGAGTGAATGCATCTAAATCATAGCACATACCCATCCCCACAAGGTAAGGCTGCACTATTGTATAAACTAAAATGAAGATTCAGACTTTAAATATGTCCATTCTTTACCAGTTCTTTTTTTAACAAAACCAAATACTTTAATATTCTAATGTGCATGCTGGAATTCTCCATCTCATTTGGGAATTGTTAGTATCACACAGGCGTACAACATTAGTGAAATAAATTTAGCAGGGAATTGCAACAACCTGGGCCATTGTTGGCGGACAGATTTCCAAAGTGCTGTTTGAGGAACTTTTCCTGATCGGGTGTCTGTGGGATATCACCATTTAGAACCAGGCAGGGGGTGTCCAGCTCCTCAACCTCTGCTTGCTCTTCTAGATCTGACGAGTTCCCATCTACACTCAGGGGCTCCGTGCTTTCCGAATCTTCTCAGCGCCACAAGCGAAATAAAACAGCACCGTAAGTGGCAAGAATTGAAATGCAAAATAATGTGATGATAATTTCTGAAATGGAGGACTCCAGATCTTCTACTGACTAGCGCAAGCATAGTGAGCATACAAATTGGTCAATTCACTAAGGCATACAAGTTATTTCAACCACACACATTTTCAACCCATGATATTGTTTTCCCCACAGCTAGCTACAGCTCAATTTACTCTATTTTTTGATCTCATGACTATTTATCTTATTTGCCAACCAGAAGCTAGCAAGGTTTTAAAAGGAAACCTGCTCTTTGTCCATACTAGGCAAATTAGATAGGTTTGAATAATAGCAGGCTATACCTATGCCCTCGATCTGCCATTGCAGCTCCAAGAAACAGTAGTCTTGGTGGTAGTTTTAGGTGTGGGAAATACATTAAGCTTCCTCATAATGTAGCACTGAGTGTCTTAGCCAATCATCAGACTTAATCACTGTCACATGTAGGCCGAGGAGGAGTTTACAAAGCCATTTGAACATTTCCACTTGTTAAGACATTTTAGTGTGCATGGAGAACCAGAGGACCACATGGGTGGCAGAGGGACACAAGAGGGCCAAGTACAGAACACATATATGGCTCCCATAGTTAGCCAGTTACTTTCCCTGATATGGGCAAAAACCTATGTGAAAATCTTTTGAATTGACTACAAAATGCAAAAAATAAAATAACATGCATGCAGTAAATTCAGCTAATCTGAAAGTTAAAACCTTTGGTGAAGTGAGTACATATTTTACATCTTAAAAATTAGCAATTAATGTGCATGGTAATGAAAATATTGCATATGATCTACTTTACAAATTGATCCCAAAGTATTAACAATACAGAAAGACTATCTATACATTTTCCCTTAAATCTGGCTATACTCTTGGCAATTCTTGAGCTTGCTACGTTGACTAACTACTGGAAATCTTCCACCCATGGTTTCAAGCGATTGAAAAAGTAGAACTGGTCAAAAAAAGGCTTTTAGCTGGGACTACAGTGGCACTGATAGATTTTCACTGCAATTCTGATCACATGCCATTTAAAACTAGAAAAAAACAACAACAAAAGATCCAGTGAGTGGGAGCGTATCTTCTTTATTTTAGACAAAAACGAGCGCGTAACCCTTACAGTGCGGGGTAGCACCACTGCAGTTTTTTACATGTGCAGAGTTTTAAAAAAAGTAAAACTCTGGACATGAAAAAAAATTGCAGTGGCGCTACCCCGCACTGTAAGGGTTACATGCTTATTTTGAGTCACTGAGCTGGATAAGTTAGGCAAATAAAGACTTCTGACTTTTCTAAACTGCATACTCTTCCCAGTCAACAATGGCAGCCACCACATTTCCTAGCAGGTTTACTTTAAGGACATCATTGTCAAACGACAAAAAAAAAAACAATCTGATGCTGGGAGACAAACAAATGACAATTACAATCTGTTGAAAGTAAATAAATTACATATACTTAAATTATGTATGTTTTATAGTACAGTTATGCACATTTCATAAGACTATCATTCTCAGGTTCGAAAATCCAGGAACACAATGAGCACATCTGATTTTCATTAGTCCCTAAATGGAAATGAATCAGGGACCCCAAATGGGAACATTCAGATCTGGCCAAACAGGACATTCTAGTTTGAGCATAAACAATCTGGCTTTCTGTGTATGGTCAGTTGAAAACCTGATTACTCCAAACAACGCTCTAGTACAATAGCTTTAGCGATGCCCTATGCTAGCATAATGTCGGACTAACAGACGGATCTGGGGACATATAAGGGGTCAGTAAGGAAGGAAGAGAAGACCAACAATTCTGCAATGATTGATGAACAAAGCAAGGAAAACTGCAATCACCTTTCAGAAAATGGGTTCTCCTATGCAATATTATGTGTATATCATATACTAGGCATATAATAATATCAATGAAGAAAATACCTCTACCCAAATCTATCCAATTTGTGAAATTTACGTAAAATTACCTTTACGTTCCCCGTTTTTAAAAAATGTAATGCTCTCCTCCCCTCCTTGCACACTCTGTTGATACCACTTGTGTTGGCATTAAAAGACCTGCTCTCCATCATCTCCATTGCCAGTGGGGCCAACACCAAATGTTGACTGGCAGCAGAAAGAGCATCAGGGAAGAGATCGCAGGCTTTTCAAGTCAAAGCTACAGGTAAAAGTACAACTTTACACATATTTACACCATAATCCACAAAAAACAATATAGGCTTCATTGCAGAAGTTTTGGATGGTGGTATCCTCTAAAAGGATCTAAAGGGTAAATACCTGTGTGATTAGGCTCTGACAGTTGCAGCTTTTCCTCAATTCATGTGCCTGCCAAGGTTGCAACTCTGAAAAAATCTCAGCTTCTCTAACCCAGAACTACTATAATGTCTATGAGTCAGAGAATGTCTGGTCTCACCAAAGCATAATCACATCGGCGTTTTACTTCCTGAAAGAATCCACAAGTGCAGCCACTTGTATAAAGCCATTACTGACCTTCATTTGGGTGATCGGGGCTAGACAGGCGGCTGCTGCTGTAATCCACTGAGCACGCACTATCCGGGCTGTGCTTCTCTTGTACTTCATCATAACTTCCATGAGGGAAACCTCTTACCTTAAACTCACTATGACAAAAAAAAGATCAGTATATAACAGCACCAGAAGTATATATCATATACAAATCATAGTGCCTGTATAGCAGAGGGTATGAAATAAAAAACCTATAGAACAATTTCACAGATAAGCAGCTGAGACATTGTAACGCACATTAGAAAATATATGTGATCATACAACACACATTGTGTAATCTACATTTGTCTCCGGCAAGGGTAAGAGCAATCGTGTGTCATTCCCAAGCTGGCCTGAAAAGAGTGATACCACTTATTTCCACCTTTATTGTAGCTAATGGTAATTTCCCTGTACGGTGTTAGCTGCAAACATCTCAGGTGATCACTGTGGCAAAATTACATAATCTGTATGCAGTGCAGAAATTGTGCACTGCAAAAGTAAACATCAATGATGTCTCAATGATGTCTACTAGAAGCTAAAACCCTGCCTGCATTTCATATACCGAACAGGGCACTGTGCAACAAACGCATCCTAAAGAGGACTTCTGATCATTTATGTAGGAACAATAAGACCCTTTTTAGTTTTGTTAGTCATTAATTAGACACACGCAACAGTTGATACACAGGGCAGCAGATCTCAGCACAATTAGCAAGGAATAAGTGGAAACCATCTGATATGTTGCAGTCTAGGCAGTTCAGATTTCAAACTGCTGTAATGGTTTTCACGCTCTAAATGGTCATGGAACCACTCAGATTGTGCAATAGATTGCATTTATTTTACAAGGCTTTCATTGTACATACACAATTTTAATGAAGGGCAAAAATATGCAAATGTCATTGCAATCCAACAATGCATCGTTCTTGTGCTATATTATGCATCCGCTCAATAGGCTCACTTCAAGCACTCCAGTTTCTGCCCCCACTAGGTGGCAGAATAATACATAGAAACATACAGTATGTATTTTGTCATGGGAGCCCAGATACCTTTTGGCTAATAATTCACATGAAATCTTTTTCCCAGTATGGACATCCCCTATTTTTGAATAGCACTAGAAGTGAACCAGTTAATAGGCTATAGAAATAAACATTTCCAACTCTTTATGATTTTTTTAAAAACAAAAGTCTATATGGTACACTCATTCAAAACATAAGTTCACTATATAATTGTTGTTCACAGCAGCCAGAATATTCCACATTAAGCAAAAAGGCCTTTAAGCGCAAACATTTTTAAAGCCTATGGAGGGTGCTGCTGCCATCAGTTCACAGACATAGCTAGTACAGATTCCCAGCACTGCTTCAGCATTACTACAAAGTAAGCCTGCTGTTCAGGGAACGCCCCAAACTAAAACTATGTATTAAAAAACAGTTGCTTTTCCTCACATTTTATTCGCAAACTTCAGAGAAAGACGGCACGGGAGGCACATATACTCTACAATCATGTGAACGTTAGTAGGACTCATGGAAGTTGTTATCTTTTTCACATGACTAACTGGTTGCCAGCAAAGTATTATAGGTTACCTGAATGTATCCAAAGCCTGTTCCTCCCCTGTATCAGGGTAGATGACACATTCTTTGCCCTCTGGTGTATCCAATTCCTGTTTAAAAACTCCATCCTCACATGACATTAACCGAATAACACGGGGACGCGTAGGGCCACAATGAGGGACAAAGGGGTCCTGGAACAGATAAATAGTTTAAAAAAAAATATTGTTATAAAATATCTAAAGATAAATAGATTTGAAGCAGTAAAGTGTTAGAAACCCCTGCCAGATTTGTATTGCCATCTCTGTCCCTAATGGGAAAATGTAAACTCTACTAGTCATGGGGACCATTGTCACCAAGACAGAACATTTGATTTAGCTTTAGATCTGCAGTATCCCCTTGCTGAAGGCAAAAGCCCCTTTATATACAATTAGTCATTCAATCATAATTTGCCATGTAAAGAACAAGTTCAGTATTTTTTAAAAACTAACCCTCCCTAGCCCCTAACTAAAGCTTTAGGATAGGCTAGCCTTGGTTGGAGTCCAAAACGTGGTAAGGTAATTTTACGTTTAAAAATTAAAAAGATCAAAAGGTTAACTTCTACCTTCAAAATAAATAGAGTACACGGCATAATGTTTCCTCCAGTACCATTTTGAAGAAAGCTTGCTGTACAAAATGAACTGCACTATACTAAGGGTGCTATGCTTGTGCACACTCCTCACCATACTAGCCTGTGGGTTTGCATCCAGGAACTTTGCCCCCTGTTCCTCGTGGTGCCCTAGGAGGTCATCACACGGAGAGAAAGATTCTAGCTGACGAAGATCGAGCATCGACTTCACTGTCATTTCAAGGTCTCCAGGATGGGACCAGCGGACACGCTGTCTGGGTGTCTTATCAAGAGAGTCTGAACGCTGGGGAATGCAAGCCTCCTTACCCTTGGGATAGAAAAGAAAAATTACCACTATTCAATTGAAAGACTTGTATAACAAACTAGCAATCCCTCTTTCAGTTATTCATTTTGTGCATTATTTCCAGCCAGAAAATATACATGTGATGTACGTACAAAATAAAACATGTTTCATACAATCTAGGTAGAATACATCTGGGTGAGTCAATGATAGAAAACGATCTAGGTGTCCCGGTAGATCATAAACTTGCAATGCCAATCTAGGTACTTTACAATATACTTTCCTGCAGCAATAAAAGGCATAGTCTTACGTGAACCTGAGATAAAGTGAAAATGTGAGATCTTATAGGGATCATCTAAAAAGTTTAATTTTGCAGAACCTTTAAAATGTTACCTTTTAGCTTGAATTTCTCAGCAGTGCACTTCCTGTCATGTGACTGTTTAGGCACTCCTGTTATGTATCCTCATAACTATCTCTGCAGTGTGAGATCTAAGGCACTGCTGTCGCAGACTGCTAGACTCATGAGATTTGGAGTGAGACATGGTGATGTCACTACTGCATACCTCCCAACTGTCCCTAATTTGGAACCAAATCTCCCTGTCCCTCTTTCCTTGCTAGTTGTCCCTCTTCTTGGTTTCATATACAGATATGAAAAGATACTAACTACCAAAAGTGTTGCTTTGCACTAAAACCTTTATTTTATCTCTTATCTTGTTTGCCATGCTGAAAAGCCAGTATAAAGGAAACGTAAGGGTAAAAAAAACAACAAATCTAGCTTTAACCAAAATATTTTGGCATACAAATTCTTAATGGTTGGCATAATTTGTGGCATGGCAGGGGTGCATCCATGGCTTAAACCCGTGTTGGAAGGTGTCCCACTTTCTCGTCTTACAAAGCTGGGAGGTACGTTACTATGCTGCTCATTGTTCCCCCGAGGGCCTGCTGGAGGAAAAGCAGTACCTCAAGACATGAGGTGCAAGGATATCCCTGCTTCTACTTTATTCATTCTGTGGATCTAGACTTTCTGCACTTCTCCTGTTGCACCTTGATCTGATCATTACCCCTCCAGTCATCAGGGGCCACTGCTGCCATAAAGAAGCAAAGTCCTGCCTCTACCAAGATGGCTGTCTCTATACCTGGGCAGTGTGGAACAAGGCATGAAAGTGGTAACCAGTTGATACTGGTGACTAGCCCTTTGCTCTCTGCTTTTCTTTTTGGAGAGAGAAGAGAGAGAGAGAGAGGGGACAGATTAACTGAATTTATTAATTTGCTTTGAGAAGTGAACAGTCTATACTCCTTTAGTAATCCAGCCCTAGTGACAGCCAGAACTTGTTGGTGGTCTTGTATCTGATCACTTCAATCATTAAACACAGATACATTGTTACAAAACAAACGATTAGGACAATATGTACAATTCTACTGATCATAAATCTTTAGTAAACCACGCAATTTCATTCATAACGGCTAATTGGATCCTGGCACACAACACAAGAACCTTTGGAAACATACCTTCTTCATTTCCCAATAAGATCCACTTCTTTTAAATGAGTCAGCAATATTTGGGGGCTTAACCAAACCTAAAACATGAAATAATGCGGTTATTGGAAAATGTAAAAATATAAAGTAAAGCCTCTAACGCTGTATACAAAGAAAACTACAAAAACCAGGATGCCTCTGTAAACCTTAGGAGAACACAGAAAACCAAAACAAGGAAAACGCATTACTTAACTTGACAAGGTCTAACTAAGAAACTTGTTGCCTTACCTGTGATCTCCTCATCACTCGCTTCATCAATCCCCTCTTTGTCGCTGTCAGATGATAGTGCAGGAACTGGACACATCACTGCAATAGTCTCTCGTCTGTAAACATAGAAAGACTTGAGTGATCAAACACATCTAGGCTGGGACTAGAACAAGTTAAATGTTAAAACCACACCAAGATCAGAAAGGCTATAAAAAGGGATCTGATCTGAAAGGCTTGTTCTAAATCAGCTTTTCAAAGTGTGGTTTCGATGAAAATGAAAGTGGATACCCCACAGTGTCCTTGCTTTCAAGTCTTAAAATGCCAACTGATCAGATGCAATGAATTTTCACAGTGTACTATACCAGCAGCTTTCATTTGCAGGTGGCACTCAGGTGAAATGTGGGGAATTAAAGGAAACCCATAATAAGAAATAAACATGGCGGCTTCTATTGGTAACCGATCTTTCTAAAATTTACTGACCCAGAACAAGTGGGCAAAAAAATAACGGACTTTTATGAACCGCCTTCTTCATAAACCATTGAAACCAGTGCATCACAATAACCTTCATGCAACTAGTATTTTCAAAATTAAGTGTAGCAGCAATAGTGGCCCCCATAAATTGAAGGTTAATACAAGCCAGCATAAAAAAAAAATCTTCAAGTATAAAAATGTATAAAAAACTTTCCATTCCAGTTCCATACCGTGAATTGGGTGTCTTGTGGGGCGTTGTTTTCTCCACTACCTTCCCACGTTGTCTCATTTCAGGCAGTCTTTGGCGCATACTGATGGTCATCTCAGAGCTGAGGCGCCAGATAAAAATGCAGCTGCAGAAATAAAGCATTAATGGGCTTTTTGTCACAAATAAGAGCATTCCCCTAATATAAACCAGCTCATTTCATCATCCCCAAGTGCCAGTGTGCCTTTACAAGCACTCAAAATACAAAAGGTTCATATCCAATGACCGCAAAAAAGGCTATGGGAACTTTTGGGTTTGGGTCCATCTCACGGAATGTGTTCCTACATTATTCTTAAGGAACCATTGATTTTAAGCTTTTAATACATAATTCCATTTTAAAAGAGTTTAGCTTAGAAGATAAGGCAGATAATGGCACTAAAGTGATTCCATGCTGAAAACTGTGGCTGGAACCGCTGCCATCATATAGGTGAAGACACCTGCCAAAGCCTACATGCAGACTTCATTTATTTGCAAAGTATCCAGCAACTCTCAGTTCCATCTGCCACCCATGCCACCTATTGTAACTGAAACCAAAGTACAGCATTCAAAACATACCTGTCACTTGGGTCAATCCCTCTAGGTTTACACAGCCACTATACACACAATGTTTGTGACATTTATTACACATACACTTTTTTTTTCAATAAATATTTCTTAGTTTATGATCTTAATTTTACTTTCTTAATCTTAGTATAAAGAACAATATGTACAAAAGCACTGGGTATTCCCAATGGCATGCATACCTGTCTCCAGACACAGTTATAAGGTGCTTGCAGTCATTGGTGAATTTCATTCCTGTCACAATCTCTGTAAAACAGTTATAAACGGTTTAGTTAAAGTAATTGGATGCATTATTTGTTGTTCAAGTAAAAACGACGACATTTCAAACTATTTTGCATTTTATATATGCAGAAGATCTGTAGTAGACCTAGGATTGGCCATACCCTTGTACAGGACACAGGAGTCTTATGCCAGGCATACACACACACAAAAAAAAAGCTAATCAGTTGTGCTGTCAGAATATACCAAAATACAAATAGTCTAGCTAGCGTGGATGGACGAATCTCCCACTGCAACTATTGGATTCTGACAACTGGCATCCTCCACTGTCAGAATACATGAAGGTTGACTGAAGCCGATTGACTCAAGTCACTGTGCAAAGTTTCGCCTGGTGACTTCTAAAGGGAGATGTTTTTAATTCATCTGCAGCATGATAAGCCAGACTGCGGGTGGTAAGGAATTGAAAAATGTTATTACCTGAATGTCCAAACATGGTGGCCACACATTCCCCAGTATAGAAGTCAAAGATTGATAGGTTTTTGTCTGAACTGCTTGTAGCGATATAAAGCCCAGATGGGTCCGTTTGAACCTGGAGGAATCAAGAATAAGATTAAACAATTAGTTGCAGAGGAAGAGCTACAAAAAGAAAATTGTAGGGTGTACTTGACACAATAGAGATGTTGAGATGATATACCTACAACAACCAATCACCACCACCTTGGTAAGGCTAAGGAGAGCTGACCAGGCTGGCAGATATAAGTACTCAGCATTCTAAAAAGCCCTTTGTGTTGACTTGTTACAGCTAGGGCATAAGAGTATAACACAAACATGGTTTACAAAATGAAATAACAGATACCAAATGACTCTAATTGATAAATTGCATTGAAGATTTCTGCAGTAGTTTTGTAGCACAGCCCAGGATTTTGCACTGGCAGGGCGGAGCCCCTCAATTGTGTAGGGACAAGGCTTCTTACATATGAGAATACCTTATTTGGTCTACTAGACCATGCATTAGTCAGGTAGCCTGTAAAACAAATACAGTACTACAAGCAAGATCCATTACTGTGGTACTAAGTGACAACCATGACCTAAATAAATTGTGCTGAAAATAACAGAAAAAAAAGTAAAAAGTGAATCAAGATAAGCCTACTCTAACTATGCTGACTAAAGAGAAAGTAATAAAACCACAAATAGACAGCTGCCATATTATCCCCATATTGAGGGAACACAACATTCCAACTTGACTGTCAGTGGCAGTCAGATTAATCCTTAGGTCAATTATTTCATGGATGGATTCTGAATGTAAGCTTAAAAAGTGAACCTGTATGGGTAGAAATATAAAAAGCAGTGAATGTTAACTGTATTTTCCAGTTTTGTCATGTAATGAGCATGTAGGCAGAGATGTCCCAAAGACTCAATTCCTGCCAGCGCTAAAGCCTGCTATTAAAAAAGAGAACTATGGGGTAAGTGTTATTCCCCATAGTTCTCTTTAGGGTCACGGAAGGACGTATAATAACCTCCTCCCATGACCCAAAGCTCAGTATATCGCGAGCTATTGCCCGCCATATACTAAGGGCGCTGCAGCCAGGACGGATCCCGACAATACTGTTGAGATCCACCCAGCTGCGTGAGTGACCGCTGGCTTGGACTATCTAGAGGCAGAGCCAGCTGTGCCCGCCCCCTGACCGTTCGTTTCTCCACTCAGCACTGGAGGATCGGACGGGGGAATCCCTGCGGGGAGCGGTGACTGACAATCACTGCTCACTGCAGGGAGACGATTGGGAAGTGAGCGGATTGGCTGCATGTTTCTGCTCACTTACCGATCGATAGAGCCGACATATGACAGCTTCTTTGTCACAGATCGGCTCTAACTATGAGGATGAGTGGAAATCGCTCACCTTATAGTTCTCCTCTAAGGAAAAAAACTCAGCAGCCATATTTCTCACAGATTTACCTTAAGGCATCCAGGAAATCCTATTCATCTATGTGTTGGTATGACATCATGGCCATAATGACCAATCAACTTCTATCTTTTTATACAGCTCTCAGTGCAGCTTAAAGTCCATTTCCACCTTTGTAAGTTATTTGCATTTATTGTGGTACTGAAGAGGTGCAGTGATGATGTATACATGTGCACATTTTCATGACTCACATTTTAGGCTTTACTGTTTGTTTTTAATGAAGGTTTTATTAGGCCTGGAGCCTTAAAATTTCTAAATTTTCTCCACAGGAAAATCGGATGGTAATAAGGCTGTAAACCTCTCCCCCTCCCTTTGATTCATTGTAACATGCTCATGAAACACTAGCTCTGCCTTTCCACACAATACACTGTCTGGGGGAAGGGGTGCCACTATGAATACTAATGAATGGGAGAGCTCAAACAGAGCTTGCAAAACACAGAGGCATTTCCATGAGGAGATGGAGAAAAGCTAACAAAAAATGTAATTCTTTGTTTTCATATAGGTCAACTGCATATACCTACTTCATGTACACTCAGCGTTTATTGCGGACATGTGTTTTTTTTTTTTAAATTTCTCTGCAAAGGTGGAAATGGGCTGTTGCATTTGACAAATTTCTAGAACAAGATAGACATTTGGTTCTTTAGTGCTTTAATCACCCCCCAACCTTATTACCCTAACAATAATAACACTCAAAATTCCAAAGAAATAAAGAGTACAAGACACCAAGATGGCAGCGCCAGTCACAGACATGGGAGTACAATATAGAGATAGATAAAGAGAGAAAACGATGCACACATACACACTGCATGCAAAGCACAGCTACCATGTATACAAATCATTACTAGAGCTTGAAATATTCCCTGCGGATTTATGTCCAGTTCGCTGACTGTGCTTTAATGTCAGCAGTAAATAATGCTGATTAGCATTTACTACTAAGCAAGGAGCCAAAAAATCTATGACTGTCCTGGAAAATCCACTTAACCCTTCTATCCTCAGTCAGCACACATGTACAGTCCCTGGACAGAAGCATCATATATGAATACTAAGCAGAGAAATGCCTTGGATTGTAGACATTTCTATATTCATATAATAAGTAGCCAAATTACGAAAGAGGGCAAACAAAATATTTTTCCGATTAACAGCCATACTGAATCAGCGGCCCTCCAGAATCAGAGAAAATTCGCTAAATGGACATAGGAGAACCTTTTTTCCTTTTGGTATGGAGATGAGGGTGTGCGGTATGCTGTAGTCTGTCAGAGGAGAACTGGGCAGGGCTGACAATGATCGGGATGTCAGTGCAGCAGAGGCTATGTATGGTCATCCCAAACAGGAAGTTCATAGCTCACTGGATTTCAGGCAGATCAACAGGAATTCTTCCGTGCTCGAGTGCTTTAAAAGGGATAAAGCATTGAAAAATGTACAGTACCTGTGATGCAGACATGTTTTGAATGTGTTTTTCTTTTCCCCCAGATATACAGTTTAAAAGAACTGTGCGCAGACTACACGTGGCTTCAACAGCATTTAATACATACAGGGCATTTTACAAGCACTCCCCCCAAATACTGCAACATTTTAGAATGGCATAATGGGGTTGATTTACTAAATGAATTAAGCATGTTCACTTTGCAAAGTGAATGAGGAGAACTTCGCAAATTTCCCTAGTAAATAAACCCTATTGACTATGAAACAGACGCAAAAATAGATATGAGAGAAATGTCACCAGCCCCCCAAATTACTTCATCCGTCATTGCTATGCCTGAAGAAGGGACCCTGTGCGGCCCCCAAAGCGCTTGTGTTAAATGACATGAGTTTTCAATAAACCAACGATCGATTATCCTTGAAGGAATCTGGTGTGCTGGTGACATTTCTCTCATATCAGTTGCAACTTGCGGCGCCATCCGCAGTCATTCCAAGCACCCTTCCCCGAATACGGGGCTTTCCGGTAAGGAGTGCAACATGCCTTCTCTATCTTAGATGCAAAAATAGCTCCCCACTCAGTTTCTGACATTGCAACGGTTTTTTTGCATTTACTGCTCAATTATACATTGTTCTACATGTAGACAGATCTCCAGTACACAAGGCACCTGAGTGGAAAAAAGAAAAAGTCAAAAGGAAAACTAGGAGGATGCTAAAGCATATAGAGATGCATCTTTGTTTTCTGCACTTCAGGCCCCATATTTATAGCTGATTGTATACAGAACATGCAATACCATTAAAAAAAAAATCAATTCTGTAATTTGTAATATATTTGTAGGATTCCATGGATGTTTAGTGGTTGGCCTACATACACTGCTCTGGCTGGGGAGACATGATCTTCTGGAGAGAAAAAAAAAAAAAGGAGGAATACATTTGCCTGGCCTCCTGCATGAGTGATCGGGCCAATACCAGAGTCAATACTGGAAATATGACAGTGGTGCTGCAGCTGTATTGCCACTGATGTTGCTCCTTCTTACTATATTGAACTATAGAAGTATTTGGCTGTACTTTACATAGTTGGCCATTGTGTATCCAGATCGCCAATTTACCCATTGGCCAGGGCATTATGGGAGCTACCTAACCAGGTGCTAGAGAGGAATGGCCATATTAAAAACAAAATAGCTGGGCTTGTAGGCTGTGTTTTCTGTATGAATCTAGTGACCTGCTGGATATACTTACTTTAATGAGAGTTCCATCTTCACTTTGGGAGCCCTTGTACAGCTTCTTCTGCTTCCCACTGCTTATGTTAAATATCCTGAAAAGCAAAACAAGAGGGTAATTTAACATTATTGATACTTAAGAAATGTATCAGGTAGTCCCGGACTTGGGTAAAATATTAGGCTGATTAGGCTCAAAGGGTACTCAAAGAAGATGCTTTGTTACTATTGATTACTATAGTCAATAAACAAAGCAATGAAAAATACAATGAGCAAAGTACAGTAATCCACAGCAATCAGATTTCAGTTTAGTGATGCCAGATCAATTTAGACAATTCTGTGTGGCCGGAATGGGTTCATTGCCACTAGCAAGTCATGGCATACAAAACATACAAGAATGTCTGCAAGCTTTACAGTTACAAGCCAGAGCAGTTTCCTTTACATCTTATTGCTGATCTTCCATTCTGCATATGAAAACACAAAGCTAAAATATAAAAATTAGACGCTACCTGATATTTCTGTCCTGACAGCCAATGGCTGCATATTTCAGGCCAGGGTCTACATCCATATCATACAAAGTTGTTTTACGTACTATATGGTGGGTGCGTTTGAAATGGATGGCACCTTCTCCTGTCTGAGAAAGAAAGTCACAATTACCAAATCGTAAAATAAACAAAAATCAGCTTCTCTTTAGGACAAATGAATTACAGGCTAACCACTTTCTTATTATCATCTTTCAAGCTATCGCGCCCCCATCCCCCACCCCCCATTTCAAACCCCCTCTTATATCCATGTGTCCACATTTCTGCAAGATCCGTGCTCTGTATGCCACAGGGAGCAACCGGACCACCACTGCAAACTCTCCAGACAGTGCCTTGCTCCCTCTGCTTATGCATGGAGAAAATAACATACATTCTTATGAATGGGCTTTCTATCATGCATCCCAATAATGGACAACAAACTGGCTGGGAGAGTATACGGTAGCAGCTCACTATGGATTGCGCAGTGTGGATCTGGCCATATGAACTTAACACATTATGGTATCATAGTTGCTACCTAAAAGACCTGTGTGCTACAATAAATGATAAAATGCATTAATGCAATGCACAATTTTGCGCTGAAGTTGCTAGAGGGTCAGACCATTATAAATAGGGAAGCAGGTTGTTTACCACGACAGTAGAAGTGATTTTTTCTGAAGATACGGGTAAACAAAGCGATTTAACAGCCTTTGAACGTGGGATGATTGTTGGCGCTCGGAGCCATGGAGTGAGTATCAGCAAAACAGCAGAATTCATTAAATGTTCAAGAGCAGCTGTTGTTAAAGTGTTTAAAGACTGGACTGTCAGCCGAAAATCTGGGTCTGAACGTGCGAATTGTGGCCGTCGGCGACTAGTCAATGTGAGGGCAGAACGGAGAGTGGCAAGACTGGTACAAGACAACAGAATGGCAACAGTGCAGTGTCAGATTCCTCGCATCACCTTTCAACATCTCGTGGAGTCATCTCGTGGCCCAAAGAAGTACTGATGGGGTGGTCATAATAATCTGGCCACTCAGTGTATAATCAAAGAGGAATGCTGGATGTCTTTGCAAAGGGACCATAACTTTTATTACATGCACAAACAAGTATACATCACACATAACATTTCAAAGCGTTTCTTATAACTGTTAGAAGAGCCACAATACAGCTGCTGACTGTTTGATATGACTGATCTAATTGTCAGAGGGTTGCGGTTTAATAGTAGGGCCATGTTTATAGACCTTTACTGCATTTGGTAATGATGAGTTGTTTGCACTTGTCACTACTGTAAGTGTAAAGATATCGGAAATTCACGTACCTGTTCAGCAGTGCGAAAATAAATGCTCTTATCGGCTCCACAGCTGATCATCCGCACTTTACCATCGCTAGCTGGAAAAGTAACAGAGCTTGTGTATAATAATGACGCAGTGCCATCAAATTTCAGATAACACTGAACTTTGTAAGAAGCAACAAAGAAATTACCGGCAAATTTTACAGCAGTGATAGATGAAGAATGATCATCCAAAGTTTGCTGGAGGCTGTAATCCTTAGAAGCATCTAAAACGTGGATAAGTCTGTCTCGGCTGGCGGAAGCCAGGAGGTTTAATCCTGATAATAGGAAGAAGAAAATGATTAAATAAGGATACATGTGTTAACTGACAGATGTCCCTAATGGATTTAAGACAGTACAAATTCTCAAGGTAAAAACACTTTCTAGAAATTTAAAGCAGAATCACAGTTTAAATAAAAACTCCCCTGCAGAAGGTGCAACATGGCTACAGAAGCAGATAAATCATTCATGCATTAAAGTTTATCAGGTAGCAATGCAGGAGATCCTATGGTAATGGTAGGTCCATCCTTAAGCTCAGGTGTGCACCTTGTGGGTTGGTACTGCAAAAATCAGCGTTTGGGGTACCCAGTTTGGTTAAAAAGTGTTATTAATTCAATAACTTTCTATGAAGAAACATTTTAGAGGTTCATAAACAGTCAGAGGCGGATTACTGTGAGCCACAGAAACTATAAATGGATACCCAAAGCTGTACCATAAAAAGTATGTGCAACCTCTATTGTAAAATATGTGATTACAATTGCAACTGCTGACCATCCATGAAAATATCAGATGCCAGGTTTCCTTGGTTTTCCTGAACAATGATGTACCACAGCAACAGCTAATACACTAAACCTGTATATCATGACCCACTCAAGTAGGTACAAAACACTTTGCTGATCATCTCTCTGCCTTTCTGATTAGAGTCTCCTGAGCTTAGTCAATGAACTCTTGTGAAGGATATGCCTAAAGGTCTGGTGGATGTTTTTAGAAAGGCAGAGCAGAGGAGCAGGCTGTTTTGTGCTTGTTGTATACAGTATGTTAGATGGTCTGGCATATTACTTGACCTGGCACATTACCAAGAGCAGACTGTTTTGTGCTTGCTATAGATGTTGAAAGGTCTGGCAAATTACCATATAGGCCATTAAAAACTTACAGGGTTATTCACAAAAGTGTGGAGTGTTTGGAGAAGGCAGGAGAACAATCTAGCCGAAACTAGAAAGTGAGCTTAATTGGAATATGTTTCCAAATCCGCTATTTTGGCCTAAATCGTTCACTTCTCCTGCCTTCTCCAAACTCTTCACCCTTTTGGGAATAACCCTGTTAGGCTCTTCTCTGCAAGCTGGAAAATGCGTTAGTTCAAACTGGTACAGTGAGAAAGCTACATGCCAGTAAAAAGACATCTAACCAGCTAAATGAACTAAGGGTAACAAACTATCACTGTCAGTCAACATTTGTCTGGAATTTCCCATTTAGAGACATTCATAGTATGGAACAGTCAGTCAATTATGAGAATCAAAATACAGGAGATTCTTACCGGTCTCCGCCTTTGAGTACTCTAGACAAAGAATCTCAGAGTCATGGGCTTCTACCTTCAACAGCTCTGTAAGAGATTGTAGTTCATGTACCCTATGGAACGAATGTAAAAATGTCAACTCTGCAATATAAAGCTGTGCACAGCAACATCATTAATCAATTGTAATGCCATTACCTAAGAGTACCAGTCCTGTCCCCTGATGCCAAGTGCTGCCCATTGGGACTCACACACACAGAGCGAATGCCAGTCTTGGTGTCTAGTACTTGAGGGTCCACTTTATCAGCCAGGCCAGCACAATTGTAGTCAGTGTCCAGCAAGGCCTGTGTGTTATTATCTATCAGGAGGATTTTCATCAGATCCTGGAAAAAGAGGGTTAAAGTATATTAGAAAGATGTTAAACTGATGCCTTGCTGTGCAAAAACATATTTAGTTGCCAACATGAGGAAAACACAGTTATGGTGATGTATTGTTTGAAGAACAACACAACATAGAAATTCCTCAATTAACTGCATGCTCTAGTAAGAAGGTCAAGAAGCCTATGTGCCTGTCTTTTATGAAGAACATATTAGCCACACTCACCCAATATTTTGTGGGACATAATGGGGGTAAACCTTTGCTTCCAATTTTTGCCTAATGAACAGAAAGCTATAGCTGGCAGAATTTGGACGTAGAGCTGTGTATTTAGAGGACACTGTTCTTCTAATCTGGCCAATATACCAGAGGTAACTTATAAAACACAGCGGTTTCTATACAATATCTGCAAACCAGTTGTAATATATATTTGTACCTGGTATTTTTTATCCTAAAGGTCTAAACAGTGACTTACTTGTTTATACCATGGTGTCAAATCCCCTAAAGACCTTGGCCTACTGAGCACGTGATAGTACATACATTTTCCTCTTCGCTCCCACCCCTCACTTCCACTCATTCACCGATTTAACACAAAAACAGCGCCTTGCTGCATTCTTAAAACGGACGGGCAAGTTTTTCATAGGTCTGAATGAAGCCAACATGGTTGCCTCCCTAAATACCTAAAAATTCAACCTGTATAAAATGTGTTTTTTAAATTTTGGATGGAGTAAGGAAAGATCAAAACTAGGGATGCACCAAAAAATTTCGGCCAAAAATGGCACTTTTGGCAAGTCGCCATGACAGCTGAAAATGCAACCAAAAATTCAGTGAATCCCAGCTTCTCTTTTCAGGATACCGAGCGGTGGGGGAGGAGAGCCCTGCCAGCATTGCAGGATGCCGAGCGGTGGGGGAGGAGAGCGCTGCCAGCATTGCAGGATGCCGAGCTCTCCTCCCGCACCACCCAGCTCGGCCTCCTGTATCAGGATGAAGAGCGCTATGATCGTTACAGGAGGCCGAGCTCTCCTTCCACACTGCCGTGCTCTGGCCCCTGTGACAGCTCATTCAGGATGAAGAGTGGAGTACAAGCAAACATTCAGCAATCCGCTGATCACTGAATAGTTGTAAATAACTGGACATAGTATGAGTTACTATGTACCACTTATGAATGAATAGGAAGTGATCTACATCACTTCCTGTTTATTCATGATTGTGGACATAGTAACTTATACTATGTCCACAATTTATGAATGAACACAAGCACTCAGTATGGAGGCTTCCTGTTCATTCAGCGTTGGGGCTGCAGAAAAAGAAATTGAGGACTTTGTGTCCTCATTTCCCTTTTAAAATAGAGAAAGATTATCAGGAGTCTCTTTAGACCCCTGATATATCCATAGAGCAGGCCTTCTTAAAAACTTTCTCCACTCGTGACCCCTTTTTGGCCGAGGAAATTTTTAAGGGACCCCAACGTCGGTCGTTGTCTCCCCCCTCTCCCTAGCGCAAGTCAGTGTTTTCCCCCCTCCCCCAGCGTCAGTCGGTGTCTCTATCCCACACTTTAAGAAGCACTGCCCTAGAGCACCCAGCCATAAAGTACAAAAATAAAATTGAATAAAAAAAATAGGTTTTAAACGTTTTAAAAAAGGTTGGGAAAAAAAACGTAATTTTTGGTTTCAGCCTGACAATTTTTTATTTCGGATTCGGTCTCAAAATTCCCTTTTGGTGCATCCCTAGTTAAAACCCATGTCAGCTATTTATGATTGATTTATGAAGAGAATTACCTTCACTTCCTGTTTTGTAAACACAACAGAAAGAGAGCAAATCACTCAAAAAGTGAGGCAAATTATATATCTTAGACCGTTGCCACCTAAACATTCACCACCTTTGAAAGATTTCCCCTGCTATTCTTGTTCTGGTGGCAACTTTATTTTACATTACTTTCAATTGCCACTGACACTTGTCACCGATGAAGTCAAATCTTCATTACATAAGATGTTGCTAATGTAAAAAGAACAACAATAAAACCTTTATTGTTAAAAAGACTTTCAAAGAACAAATGGTGTTTAAACACAAAGGGAACCGCTCAAGACAGAACGTTTAATGATTTCAGCAAACAAAACAGGTTGTCACATTATCGCAAGAATAAAAGAGGGACAGAACTAACAATCGATAATCATATTAAAATCATCTAATAGCATGCCTACCCAATCATATGAACACATCCTGTGCTCATCAGTTTAGAAACATGAAGTCAGACCAAGTGGGGAGAATACATACATTGCTGAGGATATTACGATGTAGTGCAGTTCCATGGATGTTTGAAGTCTCCATATTCCAGAGACGGATGGTACTATCAGAGGAGCATGTGATAAAAGAGTTGGGTGGTAACCAGGCTTGGTTGCTATCCTTCATCTCAGGGTATGTCTGTATAAAAAAATAAAAATAAAAAAAAGATACATTAATAGTGAAATAAGTGTTTAATCAGTTTAAAGACAACCTCTGCTAAGCATAGCTGGTATGTAGAGTGACCACATAACAGATCCCTACTGTAATGTTATAATTATAACAAACCTTTGATAGAAAAAAAATTAGGCCTTCAAAGGGTTCCTTGTGGAAGGCAGTGCCCACTGCTGTGCATAACAATTGGTATGTTCTCATCAAACACTTTATAACCTTAAAGCATTCATATGTGTCTAAATGCTCCATCCAAAGAGAACCCCAAAAGCCAGATGAGGGGTATTCCGGAGTACAAATCATACAGGTACCAACTATCTACTAACTCATAAAGGAGTTTATAGCTTTATTCCACAGAGTTGGAATTTATTGGGCAGTGTGCTGTGGTGTTGCCAGTCTTTTCTCTGTAGTTTGTTATCTAATGGGCCTTACCTAAATCTCCTTCTCATTTAGCTATGCATGCCAATTTGGAATTTATTGTATTATAGCCACCAGAGGCAGCTCTCAATGACTGTGTAATAACACGGTCTCTCAACTGCTGAATTAAGAGGGCCACACACATTCCCAAGAAGTTTATTAAATATGTTGCACAAACAAAGCATCATATTCAGGAATGAACAACCTGTATGAATGTATGTATTACTGTAGGAGAATGGCACTAGAGAAGTAGTTGTATGTGCAGGCCTGTCCTGACTTTGGCTAAGAGTCTTGCATTGGTTTCTCATAGCGATCAAGGCTCATATATGGATCTAGGCAAGGCTATGCATCAGTACTAGGAGTCTTTTAATCTGAAGAGAACACAGCTAGGTACTGTTTGCAGCACAGTGACAAATACAAAGTAGTTAGAGAGAGATGCCATAAAAGATGACAGCTGCAGAGACTCTTATGTGTAGCCTTTTATCCTAAAAGCAGTCGCTGTAAAAAAAAAAAAAGAAGAAGGCTTTAACAAACATTATTAAAAGGTTTCTACAGCCTTACTGAATGCTCATAGCACAATTCTGGTCTAACTGAAAAGGGGTTTGTATTAAAATAAGACTTGCTTAAATTATTAAAATACAACCAACCATTACACACTTTGCTTGCAATCAGGGGAGCAGCTAACATACAGTCCAAGCTTACAATGTCAAAAGTGGGTTCTTGCCAAGCATATGCAACACCTGCCAGGTACCCCCAAATGCTGCATGCACGGCACAAGAAGATGTCTTTGTTTACCCACTCTTTGGGGATGGAATGCTCAGACTGGTTTGAGAACCTTATCCGATCCTCGTCAGATAAGCCAGCCATTGGGGTGGGAAAACGTGATTCTTAATCACAGGATTTGATGCACACAAAGAAATGGGGTTGATGCATACAAGCCAAAATAAAAATAACGTTTGGTGTGTTGAGATTATACTGCAATTTCCTTCATCTCCAGCCCCCAAACCCCATTCTCCACCAGTCCTATGTATATATGTTCCTGATCCAGTACAATATAACCAACGAGGCCGGATGTCCACTTGTACAAATCTTCTGAGCCTGATCAGCACATGTACTGTGCACTCTTATAAAGGAAAGTTCTTAGTTTGGCAGCTTGTAGTCTCTAAAGGGAGCATGTGTGCCACGCTGACCATACAGGAGAAGTGGGAGACAGTTATTACTCCAAAAAAGGAAGTGCCTACACAAGGATCTGCATAGAAGGAAGGATCACCAGGCATTCCTTTAGGGAAAGCTGCATATTTAAAAAAGAGTGAAGACAACTTTTGGAATCACTTCAACATAATAAAACTTATTAGATTTCAGTGATGGAGTTTGGATCTAATTTAAGAATACTGGCAGAATGAGGACTCATATTGTTCTTCACGATAATCAAACTACATATCCTTAGATCAGTTGACACATTGTAATCCATCATTATGTTTACACTGCTATCAAGTTTGGTATGTTACAGATGCCAAAACAAAAGTCAATACACAGAAAAATTTATTTTTTGCACACTAAATGTGGTCCTCCTGCTAGATATCGGATTTACAGCAACAATATAAACACAAAATAGAGCTATATTTTCCATCTGTCTTAGGAACAGAAGAAAACGTCTTGCAGAAGTGTCATACCTCAACGCTCCACACACATGAAGAATGGTATAAGGCAGAGTAGACTTTCCCCACTTTCTTTAGGTCTTTAATATCCCATACATACAGACTGTGGTCATTGTACACACAAGACAACCACTGGTTGGTGGGGTCAAAGGTCATTCCCACAGTGTCAGGATACTTGGCATCTGCAGCACTGGAGAAGAGGCGGCTGTAAGTTAGAAGACAAGGTAAATGACTAGACATTCTTTAAATGATCATGCTGCTGCATCAATCTAGTTAGAAGCCATTGACAATTTATATGATCCAATTACTGTAACAGCTTTCAGGCACTTCACAAATAAGGGAATATCCTGTTGAATGCACATATGCTGAGCTACAAGAAAAATAAGCTGAGCACTAAGAAATCTAAAATACTTCATAATATACAAAATATTGTATATACTATACAAATTAAATATATGTTCAGCTAAAAAAAATACATTATGCATCACAGAACATTAACAGAAAACCTTTTTCTTTCATTTACTGTTTTTTTAAACATTTATTCATAAAACAAACATTGTATACATATAGTAAATACAGATTTGAAGTATCCGTTTAAAAAAAAAAAAAAGGATTCTCTTAAATTCTAACACAAGCCCAACTGCAACTGGTCCCATTTAAAGTAAACCTGTGCTTTGCCTTTGTGGGGCAAAATAGCGGGTTTTGTTTTAACGACATGCCACCTCCCACATCTCTCCAGCAGCATATTTGCCTTATGTTAAGCAAAACACTAGGTATTTCTGGCTGGGTATGGAGAAGCATTGACTCACTCTATGTGACAGTGCTGGTGCTTAGTGAATGGCTCAAGGCTGTCACATGTGGACAGGGAAATTACTCAACACTGGGTAAGCTCAGACTGGAGAAATTCAGAGATTATGCAGGGCTGTCTGGGGAGTGGGGCATTAAGGAGAATATAAGCTGAAAAACAAAAATGTAATATATTGCAGCTCATCAGTCCATAGAGGTGGTGGCTGCATTATAATAATATAATAATATAAAAAGACAAAACTAAAGAAATGTATAGATCAATATACACATCTGAGATGATAATGTCTGGTTTCTATGACAGAACAATTTCATTGCTCTTCTATCATACACAGAAAGGCTATGAAGAAGTAGTGACTTTTTTTTAGATGTGAAATGATGGTCTTTGAGAACTTCAGTGTTATCCTAAGGAGGAAATACATTTTCCTCAAAGGATATACTGTATGTACTCTCCATATCTATGCTGCTGAAAGACAAACCAACCGAAATATAGAGGCCAACTGAAAGTCGTAACATAGCAGGCCTGGTGACTGAAACACGTGATCTATTGAAAGCCAAACCACACAGCTGTGGGTTGGGGGGTCAGGAGAGAAGGAACCCACAGGCAGAGACATGCATCAAAAGAATGACTGTTCTTAGGAAAACTACAGTAAGAATGACGGTCCTAAATTCCATTCACTTCATTCCATTGCTCGGAGTTGGAGGCAGACGATGAATTTATAACCTATCCAAATAAATTGTGCATACAAAAGCAGAATGTAGGACTAGTACATATCATGTCTTCAAGGCCTAGGAAACCGCATGGCTAACAATACAGAATGAGGTTATGCATGTCCTCTCCAGCGACACACAGCAGTCCATCATCTTGAAGAGTGAACCAATATTCAATGGATGGCTCATGTCACTCTGGAATTTTAGCCTTTTATGTCCTTTCTTCTCATAGTTCCTTTTCTGGTCTTTTACAGCTTTTTGCCCCCTTTCATCATCAATTCCGCTCAACCAAACAAGTAATAACAATGTATTTGTAACTGGAATTTTAATAAAACTAAAATAGCAACAACAAACTGAGGAAATAACATTAAGAAGCCTTAAAAATTAAAAAACATTAAAATCTACTTGTCTGTAATCCTGCTATTCCACAAACAAGGGGACTAGGATGTGAGCTCCTCAGTGTAAAGTATATAAGTGCAAGAGTGTGACTGCATTTTGCCCCCTAGTGTACACCTTTCTGTCCCCATTTCATCAAATGCCATACAGCCTCATGTGCAAAGGCACAGACTCATGAACAAGATCCACTAAGGTCAAACCACCCAAAACATGTATTGTAGTTTCTGGATCATAATTGAGGGTTTCACCATCTCTCAGGACTATATTGGCTAGATATCTGTGCTTGAGCTCCGTCATACCTTCTATGTTTTACCAAAGGGTCTAGCTCCCAATTTTATACTTCTTTTTAATTCCTAAATCGGTAAGCATGTACCATAAGGAACTGGAACAAAAACAATGGGATATTTAAATACATCAGAAAATGTTTTTCCCCATTTGAGCTCACCTAGCTTCAGTGACTGTAGCAATGTCTACCCCCAGGCAGTGTGGCTTTGGCATGGTGCTGAGAAAGTGCAAGTTGCTTGGGTTGAAGATGCGCACTGTTCCATCTGCACAGCCACAGAAAATATAGTCCTGGCTCACCAGTATGCAGCTGGCAATGGTGGTCTGTTGGGAAAAAGTCATTACATTGAGACAGAATGATAAACCATGTAACAGGAACTGTTAGCATTTACAAATTGTGCATGTAGACTTAGATTAGTCTTTTCGCTATGGAAGTCGCAATAACAAAAAATCTACTGTATAGCCAGGAATTTCCTAATTTTTTTAATATCTGACAGACATTGTGCCTGATTTTACCTTCCTTCTCCAGAAAAGCCTCTTCGTGGTCTTTCTTTCAGTTGGTTAGTGAGGCCTCAACTATACAGTATTGGCCCTAAACCATTCCACCAGTATAAGCCTTGCTAGTGAACTGAATCCCATCTTAGGGGGCAGTTCTGGAGGATTTTCTGGACAGTACATGGTACGCTCTCTTGTGAGGCTCTTTAAGTTGTAGCTATCCGGAAGATAACAGGTTTCCTTTGAAGGAACCTATTAGGCTGAAATAAGGGAGCTGCCATTGCTAATTTGCTTTTGAAAGTTCATGGTCCAGGGCTGTCATCCTTTTCTTCCCTTCTTAGAGAGTTACTGATCTTAAAAAAGCATGTACATATAATGTGTAGGGTTCCAGGCCAGTGACTCAGTTTAAAAAAAATGATAGTTTAAAGCCTAAATCCAACCTCTGGAGGTCAGTGCTCACCTCCACTTCTCTTTACAGACTTGCAGGTGAGACAGCTATTCTTGTACACAGGTTAATAATGATTGCAGCAGTACCACTAGCTGGTAAAAGGGGAAACTGATGGGGCCAAATACACTAAAGGTACCAAATTAATCTGGTTTATTTTAGTAATACAAATAAGAGTGTATTGTCCACACTCACCCTGAGCTCTACCCACTTGTCCAGCAATCGACGGTCATTGAATTCACATAATAGGCCAGAGGAAGTTATACAAAAGGTACTGCTCGCTTTCTTCCCTTTCCCACAAGCGACATCTGTGAAGAAATTGTTCCTGAGTTCACCCAATAAGCCAGAGCGCCCCAACAGTGGAATGGTAGAGTTGACCTAAAAGAATAAATTATAATTTAAATATAAAAAAATATACATTACATTTATAATTATTTCTAATAAATAATATAAAATTGTTTAGCTAAAGGCACCTCAGGCACAAGCTCCAGAAGTTACTGCCTATGCAACAGGTGCAAGGTTCGCTAAATCTAAAACACAAGTTGCCTCATAAAATAACTA